TATGTATAAGAAGATGCATAATTAACACAGATTGAACGTTTGGGTGGTCCAATCTTCAACTCAAAGCCTGATTGAGCTATTCTGAACTTTTAGTGAAAAAACTACGTCATCAGGGGGAGGGGGGGTAGAGGAGAGAGTGACACACGATGACAGAGAGGGGGGGAGGGGGTTTCCCCCCAAAAAACGATTACGTAATTTGTGCACGCCGCCATTCACCTAAGAGTGCAAACAACAAAATAATTAAAGACTGCAATATTTCATCACGTTTTCTTATCAGTAATGAATTAGATCCTGTCCTGATTATCATACACCTAGCTCTCAAATAAATAAATATTAATCCCGTGGAACAATATGACATGCACCTTATGTTTATCAATATTTAAAAATTATTAAGAACAATTGTAGAAATTAGCTACGGATTAATGAAATGATACTTCAATTACCAGTCAGTTTTCTCCAATTTCATAAACAACTCCAACATTAGATTAGATAACACTTACCAACTACCGTTCAAACGGTTCCATTCCTTTCTCACACAGTTGAAGATGAGTTCAAAATCAAACCCTGAAATGAAAACATTAAGATTCGAGATCACAAACAACATGAATAAACAGGGAAGTACTGTAGTAATATTTTTTAACTACCACCATGATGGCATAATGAATGCTTACCCATCCTAACACACATGCAACAACGAAATCATTGTAATGTTTGTATACTAATGCTATGAATAAATCGAATTAAACCATTACACTACACATAAATGTATTCGAAAATTGATTATAGTTGCCTGAATAGAATAGTACGGTGCATTGTCCATTACAATAACCGTTGGCTCTGTCAGTTTTTCCAATATTTTTTTCACCAGGTCATAAAATTCTGCCCATTTATTTGGCCGTGATAGTCACCCTAAAGAGAGTCAGAAGCAAAAACCAGAGAGGCTTCTTCCACAAATCCATCCTCTCCACCAGCTTGAAGAACAATGAAGCCTCTCCTTGGTCTGTGGTCTTCACAGGGCTACTTCTTATGTCAATGTCTCGCCAAGTTGTTTGATTGCGAGAGCCTCTTTGGAAAATGCAAGTCTCATCTACAAGTACAAACTTGCCTTGCAGCTCCATATGTGACGCCGGAAAAAGAACACTCTTTTTAATGCCACTGAGGGTTTCTCAAAAACAACTCTGCGGCCATTTACCTTCGAAACCTGAAAGCCCAGGTCATGAACTATTTTCCTGAGTGTTGTGAGTCTAAGTGCTCCGAAGTAGTCAATACTTCGCTTTCTACAAAGACTCTAAGCAGTGAATTCAATAATATTCGAAGAAAATACCTGATTGAATCCAACAACCCTTGAATAGTTACCCGTCGACCTACAACCAAAAAAACAAACATTTTACACACTTCAGCACTTTCAAAAGTTTTGAGCAAATAGCAATAAACATTATAGGAATCAACTGGTGCAAATACGTACCAGAAACAAACCAAAATATTGACCAAACCTTTTTTTGTGAAGTGATATCTCCTGTGTCTACTTACCAGTCTGGGAAGTTTCATAAAGTAAGTTCGTAATAACTATGGGTCCTACTAACGTTGTCAGTTCCAACGTCGTCCGATTCCCCCACGACGCCCTTACGTCGACCGATCTCCCGCGACCCTCAAACGTTGTCCGATGTCCTTTTGCCACGCACTCTGCAGCGTTCTCTTATTTTACTTACCAGTGGGGTAATATTGGCATTAAAGAAAAAGTGAGAAGTAGTATGTGTTCCTCAATCTTGTAGGAACACCTGGGAATTTTTATTTTTCCTCTACTGCCGCTATTACTCCACTGGTAATTAAAAGAAGACAGCGCTGCAGAGCGCGCGGTAAGAGTACGTCGGACAACGTTAGAGCATCGCGGGGAGACCGGACGACGTTGATAGGATCCGTCGAAGCTGCTTTAGTGAAAGTATCCAACTCTCCAACTTTCCATCCTTTCTATCGTGTTATTTTAGGAGTGTGAAATGGAATTCCATTTGCCATGGTCATTTCAATTTCCTTTTTGCAGTCGGTCACCATCTTTTCGCTGATGTGTAGGGCTTGGGATACTCTCTCTCTAAATAAAGAAGAACACAGAGGAAAGTCCAGTAATTGTGGTAAGATTGCTACCAATTGTCCCCGTTTAAACAAATTTAATGGGTTCCTTTAAATTGAGGGATGAGAATCATTGCTCACCTGACTTTAACGCTTATAAGAGGCCTTCTGAATGCTACCTCTAAAAGAAAGTATTGGTGCAGGAAATAAATGGCCGTAACAAAAAAAGTGTTGAAAGATGTGCCGCGAAAGTTTTTCCTCGAGTACATTGGAGTTGGAGTTTTTACTGGTTGCTGTGATGCTCTGCTTGATGTACTCTTTGGAAGAGGAATTTCTTCTACACTTTTCTTTCAACACCAATTACCAGGCGATTGAATACAATGACATTATGTCACCTGTCACAGGTTTATTTAAGACTTCGATTGATGCTTCTTTTGGAGGAGGATCTTCTACATTTTTCCTTTCAACATTAGTTACTAGGCGATTGAATCCATTGTCACCAGGTTGATTGAAGACTTCGATTAATGCTTCTTTATGAAGAGGAATTTCAACAGTATTTACATGGTGATTTAGTTCATTTTCATCCTTCTGAAACAAATATAAAACTTCAGAAATTAAATGTAACAAAATTCTGCCAATATTTATGAAAAAGTTGAAGTAAGACAAAGATTCGCTTGTCTCTTGATAGGGCACGGAATAAGAAAAGTTCAAAGTCCTTATACTACACAACTATTTGAATCTAACATACCTTTACTTCTTCAAAGTCTGATTGTGAACTTGAGGACCTCTCATAAAAAAGGATATATGCCTCAGCAGCATTACCTTTCTGACTCTCAAAGTCCATACAGTCCACAGATACCTGAAAGGTAACACAAACATTAAACTGCAAGTTGAAAGTAAACTATATTAGTGAATATATTAATTTGAAGATGTACATATCCTTACCAAACTATCATTGGACCTGAACCATGTCACATTATTGTTACAGTCTGTTCTATTACCATGGTGTAATGGCCCGCCGAAGCTGTCACTCCTTTATGTAGTACAAAACCACATAGTTGGTATTGTTGACTGTTGAAAGTTACCCTCTCATTTATTTCCATGCTGGCACCATCTCTACTCCCACTTTTTTGAAGTCGAAGAAGTTGAACTTCCAGAGTTTTGGGAGCACTGTCCAAAACTAATCTCTTATCAAAGTCACACTCTGTGTGGCAGTAATCACACAGGACTTGCACTTGAATGCTGAACCATGACAACAATATGGCGGCTTGAACAGACACATTCATTTGGATTTGCATTTGAGTGGGTAAGTTGTATTGTGAAACAGAAACTTCCCCGCACACTTTACAACGTCCTGAATAAAAATAATACAAAGCCTGTTACGTGATATCTTACGAAACACTGTTACGCTGTGACGCGCCTGGCATACATCTACCTTAGCCTGTGGCGCTGACACCCGAGTCGAGAAGTGGAAAAATGTACTCGAAGATACGGAGCCTACGGCCCGCCACTTTCCTGTAGAATGCAGCGTTGTAATTTTTAGGCTTAATTCCGCCAAAAATAGCCCCCAGTGCCATAACAGTCTGACCTAGAGTAAAACGGACCAAATTTTCGTGCAAACGGCTCTGCTTTGATGAGGTACCAGTTATAAACCTTAAAAAACATTTTGTAAAAATAAAGCCTCTTTGATTTTGATTTTTTTTAAATCTAATTTTTGAGCTAGAATGCTCATCTTCGAACTCGATCTGTCTTGTTGGCTGAGCGATAGCGAAGCCTATTACTCCAGTGATGATCAAAAAGTTTCGTGTCTGTCTGTGTGTCTGTCTGTAATAACGATAACTCGAGAACGGTTTGAGCCAGGTAACTGAAATTTTTAGTGTAGCTTTGTATCACAAAAAGCAAGAACTGTACTGATTTTGAGCCCTCTAGCTTAAAAATTGGCCTGTCAGAAAAATCAAAAGCAAAAAACCCAAAACATATCCTTTTTTTTTGTACATCTTTCTAAGACGTAACTCGTCGAAGTAGAGCCCGTAGGGCCAAAATCTGGTCCGTTTGGCTCTATCTCTAACCGTTTAGTCGCCAGAGGGCGATAACCACACGAAAATGACCCCAAACCATTTAATGTTGTTTCTCAGATATTTGACGGTCTCTGGTGGGGCAACTGGTCAAAATAAAATCCTGCCTATCTACGACTCTGCCTTTTGTCCGACTCGGGTGTCAGCGCCGCAGGCCTAGGTAGATGTATGCCAGGCGCGTCGCAGCGTAACAGTGTTTCGTGAGAT